TGGGGCTCGGGGGTGGGACTGGGAAAAGGCTTTTGTCCGAGGGAAAGGAAGGCAATGCGAGACAAGCCTCAGTGCCTGTAAGAAGCTGCTAAGAAACCGGTGCTTATTACTAAAATATTTTCTTCTCTCTAGATTCTCTAGGGCAGCTCTGTGGATTGGGACCACCTCCTTCATGATCCTGGTTCTTCCTGTTGTCTTTGAAACTGAAAAACTGCAGATGGAGCAGCAGCAGCAGCTGCAGCAGCGACAGGTGAGGTGGGAGCAGCCCAGCCCTCTCCCCTGGCCCTGTGGAGTTGGCTTGGGGTGCCTGCACCTCCTCCCAGTTACCAGCTGATGAGGGAGCTTAGGGAACAGCAAACACAGAGCGCTGTTTGTTGTGCGATGTGGTGCTCTGGTTGGATCTTTTCAGTGGGATGATACTGCTGCTCCCAGTAACGGAACAGGCTGGCGGCAAACTCTGGCAGCACAACCCAGCTTTTGCTGGGCCAAAATACACAGTGAGGAGCAGATGTGGGCCAAACACGGCAATATCAAACCCGCCTGGTTTGCATTTAGTGGAGTTGAGCATTAAATTTGGTTGTCACAGCAGGGGAGGAACCAATACTGCAAAAATGCTGGTGGTACCTGCGGTGCCCTGTCGAGTACCTGCGGGAGGGCAGCACAGCATGGGGCCCTGTGTCCTTGTAGTCCCTCATCTGGCTGTTTTCCTTCCAGATCCTCCTCGGACCCAACACAGGGCTATCAGGGGGAATGCCAGGGGCTCTGCCTCCGTTGTCCGGAAAAATCTAGTCTGTGGAAGCTGCGTTGGATTCATATTATGTGGGAAGACCTTGAGATTATAATATCTTGAACTGTTGATTTGTTGGGTCAGGGCATTTTTGTTTTTCATTTGTTTGTTTTTATTTTCGGTTCTCCTTTGGGACATTGACCTGTTCATAGTGAGGGGGGGAAGCCCCTCTCTGGACCTGATGATGGCTCCTGTCTGCATCCTCCCCCCGTAGAAGCTGCGAGTCTCTCCTTTTATTCAATCAGTATGCCATAACCACTTACAGACTTGAACTGGGGGAGCTCCTCCTCCGGCCGCCTTGCTGCCCCCTCCCTCCCTCTCCAGAAACCACCCCAGGGCACAGATCAGGCTTCAAAAGGCAGCAGCGGTCGAACAAAACAAATCCTTTCCTGGCTGACTCGGAGCCAAAGGACAGCGGTGACAGGAGGAGGAGTGACTTTCCCCGCTGGCAAAGCAAAGGGGGGTGCAGGTGGCTGTACCCCCCAGAAAGCGCTCTGTGGGAAGTGGCATCTGCAGGAATACTTCCACCACAACCTTGTGTGTGCAAGTACAGAGGGAGCAGCAGGCCAGGCTCAAGACGATCCTGTCTCTGCCTCATAAAGTAGATCTTCAGATATCGGCTGCGTCTTTTTTTTGTATTGAATATTAAATAAATCCAACCTGAGCAGTGTGGTTTTAATAGACATCCTTGAGGGAGGCTCGGTTCTTTCAGAGCCGTAGGTGGCTTTGGGGGTAGAGCCTCTTCTGTTTAGTGCATGACCTGGCACCAGGGGGAGGGGACAGACAAGGCCTCTGTCACCTTCAGCTGGCCCAGAAAGCGCTGCATGGCTTAAGGGAGTTCTCAGGGAGGTGACAGACTTTTGAGGTTCTTAACTCACAAAGGCTACAGTTTTATAACCAAAGAAAAAAAAATTTATTTTTCCTTTACATACTTTGATACAGAACAATTCAGTTGAACATACAGAAGTGATAGGACATCTATATGGAAATGGTTTTTTTTTCCATTTTTAATATTTGGTTAAACAAAATACATCTCTGTAAACAAACCCAAGACAAGGCTCTAACAAAACCAAACAAGCAAGAAAACAAACACGGGCTTCCCCACCTCAACCTGCTCGCCCACCCTCTCGGGCACAACAGCCGCACCTCCCACAGGGGTGTGAGCCTGCACTTCCCCTTTACCTGAGCAGCTGCATCACACCGCTTCCCCTGCCACAGGAAAGGTGCTGACATACAAGGAGAGGAAAGTAGCCCCCAAAAATATTTTAAAACATCTTTGCATATTGTGCACTGCTCCGTTGGCTTGCAGTTTCCATGCAAACGGGGTTTCTCCAAAGTGCGACTTTAGTCATCAGTATAGAAAACACTGCTGTTGAGATTTATTTTTTCCCCTCTTGAAGAAATGGCTTCAAGTCACGAGCAGGATGCCTGCAGGCTGCGCATCCTGCCTGTAAAGTGTTTAAAAACTCTGCCAGCTGGTATTGGTCAGTGGAATGTGTTACGAAATAGGACTTTTTATAGAAACGTCGGGTCTTTAAAACGTAAGAGCCGTTTGCCCTTGACTGCGGGAGGCTGTGCTCAAGACCGCAAAATGGTGCTTGCCAGGTGTCCGGGGCTCAGCGAACAGCATCCTCCCATCATCACACGGCCTCTGTTCTGTTAGGAAGGTGCAGGCTTGGTGGTCTCTCAGCCTCAAACACCCACTCGTGTTTGCAGAGCTCTCGGGAGAAAAATAAGCGAGCAAAGGTAGTTACAACCCCTCCTTTCGCAAGCTCCAATGCCAGTCATGAAACTTCCCTGCGTGTTGGAGCAGGATCCTTCAAGCTCTGTCACGTCCCAGAGATCGCTGGTTAACTGAGACACGCGTGCATAAAGGAGGGAAGCAAACGGCAGCTCAGCCAGAAGAGCTGAACGCAACAAAGTCTGGTCCAAATTCAGCGTTTCCTCCTCCTGCTTGGAAGGCATCACTGAGCTACAGCTCACCCAGGTGACCAGGAAACAGCTGGTGGAGGTTCCTCTTAGCATCTCCACATCTTGTCACTTCCCCGCACAAGAGAGGGGAGGAAAAGGGAATGTTTGTCAGCCAACGCTAAAAGTGAAGTTGGTTTAACTACCGGGCCAGGGTCTCTTTAATGCCCAAAGGTTCTGGTGGACCCTCTGCATCTCCCACATTATTGGCTGGTAACTACAAGAAGGGCAAAACCTGACTGTTATAAAGGCTTCTCTCCTCAGCCGATTTTTGCTTTGTAACTTTACCTCTTTCTGGGGCATTTCGCATGGCATTTGTGACTGTGGGCTAAATGCCTGGAAAGAGGAAAATAAAAGGGAATTAATTTTTCTCAAAACTCCTTCAGTTTTACTCCTCTCTCCAAGCAGCCCCAGACCTACTGGGTGACCATGCAGAAAACCAAGAGATATTAAAAAATGAAAGAAAAAACAACAAACCAACAATAAAACCAACTTAGCACAAAGAAATCCAAGCAGACTATGGCCTCTCTCCAGTCCAGAAACTCTGTACTCCTCAATCAGCCCATGCTTGCTGTTTCCACATCACCTTAGCCAGCCACACACTGCCAAACAGCAGCTCCCCACATACGTAACTCCCTGGAGACACTGGGGAAGACTCCTCGAGCTCCCAAAGACTTCCTTGAAAGATGACACTTTTTATTACTGTTTTCTAATTCCTGGCACAAACCATCCCTAAGAAGCAGAGGGTCATGCTGAGCACCGTACCATTCCTAGTGTTTGAGAGTGTCCTGAGACCCTTGGGAATTGCCAATGTCTTCACGACGGCTTGTTTTGGAGGGAGAGACTTTGTGAAGAGGTGGCAGCACGCTCAGCCCTGGAGGGAGCAGCGTCCTTGACCTTGACCAACATGCGGCCTTGACCACGGTGGGGAAAAGGAGGCCAGAGACTTCCTGACACCCTAGCCCCAAAGCCCGGTTTTAAAGAGCACAACACCTTCAGCCGCTCATCCGCCTTTGCAATTAAAGTGACTGGCTTCCAGTTTCCTCCGCTCTGTCCTCAATTCTTCCCCACCCACCACCCCCCATGTCCTATGTCGTTGCCTTATTGCACCAAGGAAGGAAGAGAAGAGCCTAACAAAGGAAGGTCCAGACGAGAAGAGTCAGGACACCCATTATTCGGGTTTCAGACATCAGGAGTTCGGTAAAGGGGAAGAGCTGTAGTGGGAGGACAGAGTCGGTTCAGGTCACACGTCAGCTCTCCAGCTCTGATGTGCTTCCACCTCCTCTGGCACCACCAGCAGGAGTTCACAGTTCTTTCCTCTCAGCTGGTGTTTCAAAAATTTCCTATCATAAAAACAAGCAGAAATGAGCGCTATCCAGTGTAGAACTTTGTCTTCTACAACAGTTGAATGCAACTAACGATGCAAACATGACGAGGAATGGGAGGAAATCCACACACACACACTCTCTTTAGTTATTTTCTGACAATAAACCCCCCCCAACATTAAACTTGCCCCGCTAGATTCACCACAGTTATTGCAGATTCAGATAGACAGGACCTCAACCTCAGCAGAGGTAAGTCTATAGAGATAGCACTTTCCAATTTTCCAAGGTAGCAAAACTATAACTAAAAACAAGTACCATTTCTTCTAATCTCAGAGATCAAGAATCCCACTGTATTTTAAAATAACTCCAACTAATCTGGAACACTTGTGGGGAACCCCCTCGCCCCCCCTATAATTTAGATACCCTTATCACAGGTCATAGCAGCAGCGAACCACCTGGTCATCTGTCATGGTTCTGCAGCCCCTTTCTGCTCACAAGCTTTTCCTAATACCAAACTTGGATTATGTCCAGTAACAGCCAAATCAGTGTTTTCCCTGCTATCTTTCAGCCCGAATTCCCAAAATTCTCTATATAGGAAGTCCTTATTTATTGCTGAACAGCAGCACACCCAGGATAAAACCCACCAAAACCTCTGTACAGCAATTTCAGAACTGTATTACTTTATCCCAGAAGTTCACAAAAGGCTGACATTCGCATTACCAAGACTCTAATGGCACAGTAGGCTCTGCAGATACCACTCATGTGCGAACTCTACCTCAGAAGGAGTCTTGCTGAGGCAGTAAAGCTGCTAGGAGGCTTTAGAAGAGGACAGGATGGAAACTGAACAGCAACTAAATGCAGGTGAAACTTTACAGTCAAAGTAATTACACCTCTTGTTAAGATTAAACTGAGGAGTCAAGCAAGAAACTGTGTATGCTTACATAGGCAGGTGACTCCTGGCAAGCAGCTTTCACTGCTATCAGGAACAAGGCTGCACTTTTAGTCTGGAAAGCCTTTTGTTGGGAATATACACACAGATCACTACTGAAGAGGCAAAGGAATGTTGACACTAACATCTGAGGAGAGAGCGAGGCACAGCACATTTAACCGCAGGTCTCACTCACTCACAGGAGACTTGGCCTCTACATTCAACACTAGCAATGGAACCAGCCATGTAAGACACAGAGTCAGGCTCTCCCAACCTCGCAGAGATCACCACTGGCCAAAGCATCTTCCTAGCTCCCATGGAAGCACAAGAACCTTATTACTCTCAAATACTTGCTATTGAAGATCAACCATATATATATAAACCATTAACTGCTTAAGGACAGACTCCCCACCTCCAATAGGGAAGGATTTGAGGAGGAACAAGATACAGAAAATCCTACCTGAGCTCACTTTCACCTCCAATCCACTCGGGCACCTTGAGTTTGGAGTCGAGGTTGTAGTAGGTGCCTCCCACCTCCCGGACGCAGATCCAGTGCTGTCGCTTGAGGGGGAGCTTCAAGGGGCCCCAGCAAAGGCTGGAGGGCAGATTCATGATGAAGCCCATCACGTTAGACAGGGCAATGACGTTAACATCCCTGAAAGAGAGCAGAAAACAGCAATAAGGTTATTTTCTAGGACTTTAACTTCATCTCTTTCTCACTTTTACAAACAGCGGCCACCTCCAGAACTCCATGACTTCTCAGTACCTGCGCTTGTCCCACCAAACCGCCTCATAGCCTTTGGTCTGAAGCGCTGCCATGATCACGTTCACATCATAGTTCCCATTCCCCAGCATGCTCTTCTTGTGGGGCGTCACCATGGTGTTGGGAGACAGCCTGCAAACACAACAGGAGACCACTCTAGCCACCACCTGCTGACCCTGTATTCCACAGCAGGAAGGGGCTACTTCCTGTATCACTTGCAGCCCGTTTTCAAGGTTCTTGTGTTTAAACACAAACTATTCTGTTCCCCCTTATCACTCAGATGGGCTGAGAGGGATACATAATGCATTAAGAACAACCTTAAAGTACAAAGTCTTCCAAGAGCCCAGCTTTGCTGTGAGAGAAACTGCAAAGCAGGAAGCCTTTTTTCCCCTTCTTGAACTGGTACTTCAGAAGGATAAAGTATTTTTGCCTTAATTCATGGTTGGAGTAAATGCCAGTTTGCCATTTAGAACAACAGCTCTCACAATTTCAGGAGTTCAGTACTCAACATCAGTCTTGAAGACTGGCTGAGACAACAAGAGGCAAGGTGGGCTGGCTGCAGAAAAGGTTGTTTTCCCCTCACTCCCCAGTGGTAAATGAAAGAAATATTCAGACATAAAGCTGTGAAGATATTTGGAGTTAGGAGCTTTCTAAAGCATTGCTATAGAATGAAAAAAAATCTGTTGCTGTAGGTAACTAAACAGCTAACCTTGTTGCAGACAAATCTCTTCAGCTTTAATCCATAAGCTTGCCTAGAGATCACTTGCATTACTATAGCATCTAAAAATCCAAAATCAGTCGTCCATCAGGTTGTACACAAAGACACAAGACAGCCTTTGCACAAATGCAGATAATGCATACAAGGCATAAAACATGGAGAGACATGTGGCAAAAAAAAAGTTAGTAATTTTTATTATCTCCCTCCCCCCCTCCCCCCTCCAAGAAATTTGGTAAGGAGGGGAAACAATGAGGGGGTGAATTATTATGTATATGAATTATACACAGATGGGCTTAAACAGCAAGAAGAGCTAGCAGAGGGGAAACTGGGAGCAGAGAACAGCAAGGTCATGCAACACCAAACCAAAGAAAGTCAAGCCTGAGATCAGTCCTGTTGCGATGAGTTGCTCTTCTGATTGGTAAGGACTCCATCAGCTCTACTGGCACAAGGTTCAGACGTGTCATATCATCCAAATACCCAGGTCTCACCTGCCTCTCCCCCATGTCAACTCTGTCCTCCAAAACTCCTGATGTTCCTGCGTGTTTTCTGCTTGGCCTTTAGCACAGTGCAAGTTCTGTGGGCATATTTCATCCCTCAGCCCTTCTGCATTCCTCTCCTGACAACAGAAGGCATTTGACAAGCAGCAGCAAGCAGCAGATTGAGTAGGGGGGTTCAGACCACCCAAGGCTGGAGAGGCTGCGGATGGGTAGCTTTTTGCATCAGCTGTGAGTTTTCTTGCAGTGGAGCAGACTGCAGCACAACAGCCTGGGAGAAGACTTAACTACAGGAGAGAGAAGAGTCCAAAACAACGCGGTAAAAGGCAAAGCCATTAACGCCCACCACTGGGCACTTCCGAGTGCAGCAGTGACATTTTCACAGAATCACGGTTTCCAGTCTCCAAAGCTCTGCTGTGTTTTACTCATCACAGAGATGCAACTGTAGCTCGTCACAGCTCTTCCAGCATCTCCATAAAGATCACCTGGCTACAACTAATTCCTCAAGATCACTGCTTATTCACTACTTATTAACTCTCATGCGCCAGCAAGCCAGGAAAGCCTCCCAAATAATAGCACCCTCTAGTGGCACCGTTTTCCAGAGACAAGCTTATTGAGAGCTAAAAGAACAGTTATCTTTGCTCTTTCCCCTAACTTTCAGAGTCCCAGAAACGAGATGAAGAGATCAGCAGAGGTGACACACTCAAAGAACTGGTGAGCAAACTTTCACCAAGAATTGCCTCAGCACCTCTGCTCACACACACCCAAATAGGGCCCACATCATCAGCTGAAGGATTCTGGTTAGACAACGGATTCAGTTGCCTCCCCAGAGTTAATTTTTTTTAAATCTAGACACTAAGCTGAGGAAGACTGACAAAGTTGGATAGAAATCCAGGTAATAATCCTCCTGAGCTTTCCAAGTCAGGACCTTTCATGAACATGTTGTCTCAACACAGTAGGCTCCAAGATTCCTTTATACAGTTGTCTTTCCTGGTCAGGTCTCAATACACAGACTTCACTGAAGCCAAGGGATTTTGTTTGTATCTCCACGCAACACTTGGAACACGCAATGTTACTTTCCGCAACAAAAGCCAGAGGAACATCAGAAAGATATTTCTTGTATTGGAGGAAAGATGAGAAGGACGACTACAAAATCAGAGGGGAGCCTGGACCAAGTTGTGGCATACGCTCAAGATGATTATCATCAGACTACACTGGGCTTATGCAATGGGAGGCAGCAAAAGGAAAACTAATGATTAAACAATTCGGCTCAATCATTCTTCAAGGGATGCAGTAAAAGCTACAGAAAGCTTAAGCTTATTTGTGATTTCGTTCCCTTGTCAACACTGGGTATAAAAATCACACCTCGCAACATTTTTGTAGCTCATTAAAAATATTCATCATATCAGAGTTAACACACAGAATATGACCAGACACAGGAAAGGCATACGGAAAAGGGATGTATAAAGGGCAACTAAATCCACACTTAAAGGCAAGACAAAGACCTAGACACAAGTAGTAACCCAACTGAGATGCAAAGGTAGCAGAAATTCTTATGCATGGCTTATAGCTCATTCATTTCTGAGAGGAATTTCCACATATATTTTCATACTACCATGGGGGTGAATCAATCCATTTATCTTGATCTGAATGTTAGGATGGAACAATTCCAGGTTGGAATCAAAGACAAATTCTCCCTTTGAGGTCCAACAAGAGTTAACATCCCAGCTCCTTCTGAGAGGTTTCATGCTGGACACTAATTCTCCCTCACCAAACCCAATGAAAGCCAACTGATTAGATCATCACACTCCTTCGACCACATGAACTGCCTTTGTTTGCTTCAGGCCAATAGAAATTCATCTGTGATTGAAACTCTGACAATTGCTTCCCTGGAACAAAACCATAGCGTCTTTACACTGGACAAAGAACGCCTTGAGCCTGCCACAACCCAGCTCCACTTCACCAACAGTAGTTTTGTTTACAAGGCTATTGCAAACAGCATTTGAATATGATCTTTGCTGTTGTCCATCACCACCAAACACAGGCAGGTGTTGTCTTTTGCCAAAGACAGGCAGGTGTTTGATGAGTCAAGCACCAGTTCCACAAATCTACAGGTTTTCAGGACAGCAGCAACAGGCACCACAGCTCCCTGCTCATCAGCACTGGGTACCACCACTTTGTCCAAGAGCACCTGTGTAACTGCTGCCATGAAGCACGATTTCCTACCTGTCACAAACACAAGATGCCATCACCTGCTGGTAAAGGGTGTTCAAGCATAACTTATCCAATGAGCACAACATGCGCAGACTGAGTATCAGAGAAGACCTTGTTTCCTATTTGATTACTTCACTTTGCCAATGAAAGGTCATCCCAATTTTCAAAGGCACACTCAGAACTTCCACAAAGCGCCGAAACAGCATCAAGTAAACATTGTGCAAAAGATGAGCTATTGTACAGGACACATTAATAATTTACATTTATCCCAGTAAAACTCAAAAACGCTTTTATTAATTATCTGAAACTGCTGGGAAACATTTAGCAACGCCACAGAGAATGGGGATCTAGCTACTGAAATGAAATCCAGTTTGACACAGTACACAGGGTCTCACAGCATGGAAAAAAATGGTAACACTTGAAGAACTTTACTTAACCTCTTGAATAAGGAGTCTCTCATTTGACAAAGTTCCTAATTAAAACAAACAAACAAACCCAAACCAAAGTGTCGCAGTACTAAATCAAGAAGTTTTTATGATGACCCATTTGTCATTCCTGCCACCTTCAGCCTCCCAAGCCAACCCCAAAATCCATTACTAACATCAAGATAATGTATCTACAAGTGGTAGGGGCAAAAACACGGAAGACAGGTAGAAGATGCATTAAGGTGGGTGGAAGAGAAGACAGTAGTCCAACCACATGACAGCATCGGCAGTAAAGCCCTTGGACCCAAAATTGGCAGCCAGAATAGTTTAAGAAACAAGTAAAAAGAGAGAATTTCTGCATGGAGAGAGGAAATAATAAAAGAGGTAGAATTAAGAAACTGCATTTAGTTCAAAGCAGTGGCAGACTCTGAACCCTTCCTTTGCTCTGTTTTTCCCCCCCTAATAAAAATCTGAAGATTCCTCTGAGAAACAGAGGATACAGTGAAGCTAACACTAGTGCAGAGAGTATCCTACCTCTGAAAAATCTCCTGCAGGGTTTCCCTAGTGAAGGCGTTGCTGTCCTGGAAGACATTGTTGAGGGCATGGAGGGCACACAGCTCCCTACGCTGCTTCTCATGGTAAATGTGCACTGGTGGTAGCTGGGGTGGCTCTGGTGATTCCGATTTAGTCTTGTCACCTTTCCATGGCACGCAACTCATTTTCTCGTAGGGTGGATGGAGAGTAGGCAGTGAGAAATGAAGGAGGCTGATGTTTCTTCCTCCACAGTCACAACAGCAGCCCACCGTCCCTTTCTTTTGCAGGCTTGTGCTGCTTCCAGCTTACAAACCCTCCTCTTGTGCTTCAGTTTATTCAGCAATTGCCTCTGATGGCTGGTTTTAAAAACCACATAAAGATCTGCAACATATTTTTCCTCCCTCCTCCCATACCCCATAAAACATAATACTTCTCTCCCTCCCACCTACCACAAAAAAAAAAAAAAGATATGAATTCCCTTAGTCTCAAGGTACCAGCTGGAATTTATCACATCGCTCCTTTTCTTCCATCTCCTTTGGTCTACAGTGCCACTAAAAAGGTACCCAAAGCAGGTAACAGAGGCCCACCACCCAGGTGCCAAAGTAGAGAAGGTGAAGCCAGCTTCTGGTGCTGCCTATGGGTGCACAGGGTGCTTAAGGACTTATCAGCTGCATTTCTCCGTTCCTGTGGGAATGACTGAATTCAGGCAAGAAGATGCCAACGGCTCCGGAAAAGAAACCACCTCTTGCTAGGCCACAAAAACTCCCCAGGTCCAAGCTCCGGGGAAGGGGATTCCTCACGGCTCACCCTGCACTCCGACAAAGGGAAGTCTCCGTTAGCTACGAGAAGAGGCAGCACAGAGCCCGTGGGGGCGAGGGGAGAGCAGGCAGCAGGCGGGACCAGCCCCGAGGCCTGCACCTTCCCACCCCAGCCCTCC